ATCTCCCGGAAATTCTCCAATGAAACATTTACAATATTGTTCTGGATTCATGACATTATCACCTGATCCTTCTAATTATCTTGTTTTCCATCACCTTGTCCTATTTCTTCCAGCAAATATCTTCAATTTTGTCTTGAATGTTTCAGTCTTCATTTGTTAATTCCTCTTCTTAGATTATTACACAAGAAAAAAAAGAACAGTTAAGTTTTACTCTTTGCCATTTTATATGTTTGTTTTAAATTCTCAAAACCTACAAATTTATTTTAAATGTGCCTTTAAAAACATTCTAAGACCAATGCTACTATAATGGTAGAATTTTTAACAACATGAAAATCTGACAGACTAAAGAGTATATAATAGTAAATTATATAATTGAATATAATATAAAAGTTGTGAAGGTGAGCATGTTAATTTGGTTTTATTTGTCAGTGTCAAGGTTAACAATGTTGTAACAGCCTGTCACTGCTCTGCTTCTCAATGATAAGTTAATTATGGATAAACAAGTGGTTTGCCTGCTCTTATCAGCCATCAATATGGCGTGCTTGCATGTTAGTGTGGAGACATTTTGCCAAGATAAGTAATGGAATGAGGCCCAGAAATGATGGATTTATTTCTTGAAAGGCAGATTTTTACTCCATTTGCCAGTTCCTACTGCTAAGCTGCTTAATACTGAATCACCTACAATATATATATAAAATATATATATATATATATATATATATATATATATATATATATATATATATATATATACACATATATACACACAATGAAAATGACACACACATATTATATATGCATAAACAAAAATGATGAAACTGACACACATACACACACAAATACACACACAAATAATGAAACTGACATGCACATATACACACAGACAAATAATGAAAATGACACACACATATATACACACACAAATGATGAAACTGACATGCACATATATATACACACAAATGATGAATGACACACATATACACACACAAATGATAAAACTGACATATATACACACACAAATGGTGAAACTCACATACACGTGTGTGTCTGTGTGTGTGTCTGTGTGTGTGTCTGTGTCTGTGTC